ATGGATGACCTCTGTAATAGAGTATGTCCATACCGAGTAAAGTAAGTCCTGCCACTGATTTCTATGAGTTCATGGACGAACGTGGCCATGGCTGTGGGCCTGAGTTCTCCGTGTCTAAAAGTAAAATTCTATCATTAAACATGTGTAACCAGGATAGTAATAGACTAAAGGTCACAAGACACATATTCCAGTGCCAGTTCTACTTAAACTTCAGTAGATTTTTAAGTTATCATCGATAAGTAAAATACATAAAATGGGTAAGTGGATAAATGACTATAATATACCATTGATCTTACTACACATATATGAGCTTTGAAATCATTTTCACAAGAACAGAAATGAGTTGGTACAACTTTTTGAAGACTGACTGTAAGTAGGACCACAAATGATTTCAGAAGTTTCTCTTCTTTCTTTTCTTGTCAACTAACTCTGGGCATTTCCCTAAATTCAATGTTCAGCTCACATTACTCTGCTCTCACTCTCTCCTCAGAAGAGTCACCTCTTTCAGTAGCTTTACTGATCAACTTCTTGGGGCAGACATCATCTATGTCTCTCCTGGTGTGACAGTTCCCTTGAATGTGTGTCATTTTCTAAGACAGTAGAAAGAAAATCAGTGTGAGACGATTATAAAGGAACACATTTCAGTTCGATAAGAGAAAAAAATTTAACATTTGGAGTGAACAGAGATGGACAAAACAGTCTGTTTTCTGAGGTGGAGGAACTGGAATTATAGAAGCAAATGTGGCCATCCTGCCTGGATGAATAGATGAGGAGACACAACTGAAAGTGTAAAACCACTGGATAGCACGTATGTAGAAAGCAAGCCACAGGACTGAGTCACAATGAGAGAGGCAGAGTTAAAAGTTGTCAACTGGAGGTCATAAAAAAAAGTCAAGCAAAGATGTTGTAAAAAGAGGAAGTTGAATATCGGGCACCTGAATTCAAAATCATCAGGTATCAGTCACTGAGGAGTTCAAGGAAGTCTAGCAGACAATCAGAGCTGTCTGCATGGGGTTTCCCACAAGTGCAACATATTTTGCCCTATGTTGCATTAAAGGCACCATTTGATATCCAGCAACAGATCTGGGGATGTCATCTTTATATTTAAAATAGTAACGGACACCTACAATAAATTATCAATAATTTCAGGATGAAGAGCAAATTCTGCAGCCAGAAATGCAGGTTTATCACACTTACTTTGTGCTTCTCTTCCTCTGTATTCTTATTCTTTTTACTTCATTGCTAAAAAATCCATCCCCCCATCTGAAAATGAAGGTTCCACCCAGCCACCAAAGTTCAGTTCAATTGAAATAGTTTCCAAGAACCTTTCCTACATATCTCTAGCCATAGTTAATTAATATCCCTGACCCTCTAACACAACACAGGACTGAGACTGTGCTTCTGATCAAAGCACAATGACCAAGGCATAATTTACCATGAAACGTCTTAATTTAAAAGCTATGTATACATGCAGCTCCTAAACTTGATTCAGAGGTTGTAGATGATCCATCTTCTTATCTTTCAGTATTGCCTTACCTTTAATTGTCATTCACATTTTATTAAATTGAAAAAAAAAATTAGTAGATTCAAACAACAGAAAGGAACTGAAGTTATGATCTCTAACACCCTTGAAAACCTGAATTTCAATGACACATTCTCCCCACTTTTAAACTACTCTAAACAATGCCATATACCTGTCCATAGTGGCTGAAATAGGAAGAAGTTGAGAACATCAGCTGAGAACAAAGCTAACAGTCCCAAGATTGAGACTCAGAGCACTAAACCCACAATGCCAAATTCAAAGGCTATAATATCAAGCATACAGGCATGAGTTAGAGAAGGTATTGAATTTATAATGAATGAGTTAAGAACAAATGAATGAAATGACTGCTAAATGGTCACTCCAAACCTCACAGGTACTGAGGTCAAACTGATCTTGATGGAAAAGAAAATATCTCAAATTGTTTTCCAAGAGTCATCTTTTCGCATAAAAATGAGAATTCTCAAAACAAGAATTCTTGACACTGATTTTTTTTTTTTTTTTGCCTTTTGCAAAGAAAAAAAATAAGTTTACAGTATATATCAAATGTTCAGTGAGTCAAGCAAAACTTCAGCAGTAATCCCTCATCTGAACCTCAGAGCCTTACAGGCCGATACAGGACTAAAGTAAAACCATGTGCACAGGCCATCTGGTACAGTGAGAAGAAGGACAAATCCAAGAGTCAAGTAACATTTCTCACATCCAGGAGAGCTCAGTCAGAAACTGTACGATCTACACTTTCTTGGGCCTCAGTTTCCCCATTTGTAAAGAGAGGAAATTAATTCATTTTAGCAAGGACTTGAAAGGGTCGTAATGAGATGCCTGGCGCCGGGGTTGGTCTAAATGATCTCTAAGGGCCCTTCCAGCTCTGAAAATCTTATAATTCTTATAGTCACACTTAGTAGACGTTCTTTTGGCTCTGCCCTGAAAACTTGACTGGAAACATAAACAGACTTCTACATAAAAACACATTTACCAGTTATAATTTGGACTTGGCAACAGCAGGTTTCACCATGGCTGAGAGGAAAAAGTGCAAAATTTTCTCCGGTGATTATATTACTTTGGACTATATTATAGCTCATATCTAAAGGTGGTGCCAGTGTGACCAGTGTGAGCTAGGTCACTATCACATCATTTGTCACCACTGCACATGGCAAGAGCATGCCTGTTTTCTTTTGAACTCGCCAACCGTCTTCCATATATATTCAAGAATCACATGCCTCTCCCTACCAGATTATCCTTTTCCATTTGGCAAACTATATTTTATTTTTTATCCTTCTTCCTTCTGTTTTGCAGAGAACATAAGCCAACATGGCAACAGGCTTTTTGTTTATTTCCTTCCTTTTCAAAAACAAAGTCGTGGTTTCAGAATAGTTATCAAGACAAGGTCCATACAGAAAAAGATCTTCTGTAATTTTAGAAAACCTCGTGTTTGAATTTTTCTTAATGATATCCTTTGACCAAGCCTTATCATTATTCTTGTTGTTCTTATTTTTATATAGTAATACATATAACATCAAAATAGCTGTATAGACATCATAGTTTAGCAATTTCAAATCCATCTATATTTCATTTAATTATTAGAGATAGATACAGTTACCTTATTTTTAATTATGAGGAAACTGGGACTTAGTGTGACTGGCTCAAAAATCACATAACTAGAATAAGCTAATTTTCAAACACAAGTCTTCTGTAACAGTCAAACACACTTTTTAAAAATAAAGATTTTAAAAGCAACAAAATAGTTTCCATAATGATCCAGCAAGGAAAAGAGACTAAGTGAAGTCTTTAATTGTGTAAATTCAACAATATGCGAAGAATCATCCTCAACAAAATAAGAATAAAAGTAAATAAAAGAAAAACTTTACTTTTTTTTCATTTTAATAAAGAAAATTATTAAAAATAAGAGAAATCGATCATCTTATTTTTCTTTTCCAAGGGATCTCTCTGTTGCATAAAATAAATATAAACTTTGTAAGACTCTTGCTCATTACTGGCATCTGATCTGTTTTTACTAGCGTACAGCAAGATAAAATGTAGAGAGTTTGTGACATATGTATCTGAGACAGAAAATTTTAATAGCCTTTAAAAGATCTAGCCTCAAACGAAATTAGAGCTTACTAATTATAACTACATAAAAATACATTCCCCCCAAAATCCACATGGCTCATTTCCCCTTTCCTCCTCCAAGTCTTTGGTCAGGCGTCACCTTCCCAGCGAGGCCTTCCTGACCATGCCCGTCCTCAGTAGGCTGTATCTCTTACCCTCTCCTCGACCTGTAGCACTGATCCCATTCTAATGTACTTTGTAATGTATATATTTTGTTTACATAGACAGAAGTGTTATGAAGGCAGAACACTGTAGAATTCCTAGTGCTATCAAGGTGCGTACACAGGAGCACAGAATATTTGTTGAATGAATGAATCATTTCTTCTTGAATCTCCCCCAACCCAAAATTTAGGAGAAAGACCAGAAAAGAAACTTAAACTATTTAAGTGGTTATTTCTTACGGCTTTTCCTTTTTAAAACATTAAGAGGATTTTTAAACATTTAAAAGTAGACCAAATAATAGAATAAACCTCCAAGCACCCAACAATCAACTAATTTTTTCACCTATATTCTCACACAGTAACTCCCTACTCTTATTATTTTGAAGCAAATAGCAGACTCCGTTTCACTTCATCCACAAATATTTTCAATGTTTCTCTAAAACTCTAAGGACTGTTTTTTTTTTTTTCTTCCACCTATCTAGAGTAACATCATCACCCTTAAAAAAATAACAATAATTCTTTGACTTTATTAATATTTCCTTCCTGACGTGAATGACATTTAGCTACCTAAATGGTGGCAGCTGGTCACCAGCGCCCCTACATGATCACAGGCTGAGAACTCCTCCTAATGCGGCTTCTCACTCCAGCCCTGAGTTATTTTGCAATCCACACTCTCTGGAGCACAGAGTTGTATATAATCAATACATGCTACAATGTGCATCCTCAATCTCACTCAAAGAGAAAACCCTAAGGATGTTTGCTGCTGCTTTTGCTAGAAAGATGTTGCTGACCAATTAGGACACAGTGATCAACCAGAGCCTTAAAATACCAGCCTTACTTAAGGCAGAATGCAACGTTTGTGGATAGGGAAAAAAGGCAAAGAAAAAGCATGGTTGTGTATCCCCAGGATAACAAGAAAATGTGAACTTCTCAAGTGGCATTCCTAAAAAATGGCTTTCAGTTTCGAAATAACATTAGTAGGTAAAAGGATTTCCAAGGCTTCGGCATGCAAGCTGCCAGAACTCTGAGAAGCTTGAGTCGGGCATTCTGCATTAAAGGGCCTTAGCTCTTTGTGAGTTGCAAAGCTCTCTGTAGGCTCTGGATAAATGTTTATCCGCTACAGAAACAATCACTGAATTCATGAGCTTCCTAGCATAGCTTATAAACATGACTTCAACCACAGATCTTACCTGTGCCCTGAAAGCACCTTCATCAAGGGGTGGTGGAGGAGGGAAGTTCCCAGAGCCAGATGGAAGAGCGCCGGCATCATCTAGAGGTGGGGGTGGGGGTGGAAGAAAATCACCTAAGGAAAGAAAACACACACATGAAGTTAATATGGATGCAATTTTATAATACTCTTAAAAACAAATATTTGCTGGCATTTTACTGCTTTGTAATTGGCATTGACACATAATTTCTTGCTTTGTATGACAATTATTCCCTATCTTAGTTCTTTTCACTTTAATTAGTAGTCTTAACTTTCAGAAGAATGAGGATCAGATTCGATATTTAGAAGTGACATAAAAGCTAGTCTACAGAGGTCGTGTACATTTAGCCAGGATGGGGAAGTTGCTTGAGTTGGTGAATTACTGAAGTGTCTAAGACTTGGTCCGTAACCTCAATAAATTTTCAGTCACCTAAAAGAGGAAAAAAATGTATACACTAGTAAGAATAATACACGATGCAATTTATTAACATGTGCAAACAAACTCTTCTGGAAGTTAAAATGAAGCAAAGCTTATGTCTGGGTAGAGAAACAAGGAAGGCTTTACTGAGCATTTAAATTGCCTCTGAATATTATGATGTACAAAGCAAGTCCACTCTAGGCAGAAAGACAGTGGAGTAAAGACATAGAGGTCAAAAAATTCAGGGCCTGGAGAATAAAGAGCAAGTTACAATATAACATAAATATAGGAATGTAAAATAATACAAGTAGGTTATAAAAATTAGAGCTGTGACAAAATAAGCTTTTAAGTGTATTGCACATCTAGCAAAGGGTTTGAATTTTACCATGCATGCAGTGGGGATCCATCAAAGATTTCTGAGAAGGTAACATTTGGTTGCAATATGATTTACTAAAGACTAATCTAAAAGTACATGTAGAATAGATTAGAGGAAACTGAAATTAAGATACATCCGATTTGGAAATCTGTATGCAATACAAGCAGGAGGTAAAGATACCCCAACTAAGATACCCCAACATCACTGACCAACATGAACAGCACACTGAAGTTAGACTTGTTGGAAGAATGTGCTTAATCTCTTAAGATGTGAGGTGTAGACTTATATCTTTGGGTTCTTGGTATAGAATCTTCTAAAATACTCTGCATTTCTATTAGGAAATTCTACTAGGAAAAAAAAAAACCTTCCATTTAAAAACAAAATTCTTTTTCTTTTAAACATATTTTAGATGTGTTGGGAAAATGTTCTTTATTTATGCATAAGTAGCTTTTACTCGCCATTTCAGCAGTTCCATACTTAGAGCATACGTAGTAAGGTAGCAGTCTCTATCACTCAATGAGTTGCTTTTGGATAGTACCAAAGCAACACAACTTAAGGCTTCAGAAAAAAAAAAAAAAAGTCTAAACTGCACTGTGGAAGGATGATGAGTTGGACTCGTTGGTCTGATATCCTTTGAGATGATTCACTTAGGCTCCATTTGCCTAATAAATAACAGTCTTAGAGTTGGAAGAGTAGCTAACAGCTGTCAAGTCTACCTCCCAGCCATATTCAGACTACCAAGCAGTCACACACACTATCTTTACAGTACTCTGCCTTTTGGACTCTCACTATGCCCCGGGCACTGTGCTAAGATTTTCATACACTACTTTCTATTCCTACACAACTCTCTATGCTGATGGCTCTCAATCTTTAGAGTTCATCGGGATCTCTGGAAGGTCTTGTTCAAACATAGACTGCTGAGTCCAACTCCCAGAATTTACAATTCAGTAGGTCTAGGGTAGGGCCCAATAATTTGCATTTCTAATAAATTCCCAGGAGATGCTAATGCTATTGGTCTCGGGAACCACACTTTGAGAAACACTGCATTAAGCAAAGTACCGCATTATTATTCCTACCTTAGACCCCAGGGAGTTCGTAAGGTTCAATGACTTATGTCATATAGAAACATTTCTACTTCTCTTACCCTTCTGACTGTACACATCTGAAGACATACTTTATCCATATCCTTATTAGGGTTATAAGTCTCATATACCTTTATTAACTCCACCCAGTAGTACCAAACATTAGCTACAAACTAGAGTCACCAAAAGAGCTTATCTAAAAATTTTAATGCCAAAATGCCATCTCACATCAATTCAATTAGGGTCTTGAGGATAGGGGAAAGGGAGTGGGGAGGAAGAGTCAGATGCCAGTATTCCTTTAAAATCCAGATGATTCTAAAGTGCAGCCAAGATTGAGAAATTCATCAGGCCTTTATCTGGCCAAAGACAGCACTAAAAATATTTAACATTTATTAAATAGAAAGAATCGTCACTAAGTTCTTTTCTGCTTTTAAAAGTCATAATGTATGAGAAGAATTCACACAATGAGGTCTTAAGTGATCAGCAAAGTAAGGTTACTGTTGATGGAAACTTGACTACTAAATTCTAGTTCACAGCCTATCTTTCAGGTTTGAATGTTTTATCTAAACCTATGTGTTCTTCACACACAATTTAAAAGATTTCTGAGCATCTTCTAATTTATCAGATTCTATTACGCCATGGAGAATTGTCAGAAAATTAAACAGTATCAGAACTAAATGAAATCTTATAAAGGTAGAAACAGAGGCCCACAAAAAACAGATGGACAGTCCAAATTCTCACAGCAAATTAGTCTACACACTAGAAAGTACAACTACCTGTCTTTGAGGTCCCTTCCAACTAGAACCTTCTTGACAATATTTCTGTTATAGTAATTAAACATACTGAGGCAAAAGCTGATGACACTCCTGAGAGAGAGAAAAGGATCAGAAAAGAAAAATGGAATATATGTTTAAAAAGAAAAAAAAAGACAACATGACTGTAGACTTTATTCTAGATAAGATTAGGCAGATTTTTAAAAGCCCTAGTGATAACCTCACTATAATCATCTGCTTAATTTAGATCAGTTATTAACTTAGACTAAAGTTTTCAGTTCTTCAGGCTCAACTGTCAGAGACTTCTTATTGTATTCTTCAGAGTGGATCTCGCATTTTAAAATGAGGTGGAATGTTTCAAAAACAGATATACACGCAATGAAGGGATAGAATACAGACAATGGATCCTTTGGAGGGAAGCACTACACCAACTGCATCCCAACTAGTTGAAATAGATGGGATGGAAACCTCTTAATAACCATCTTAAATCAAACTAAGAACTACCATGAGAATTCTGACTTATAGCTCACCATTTAACAGGCAAGTAAACAAAGGAAAATGGTTCTAAGTTTCAGTAAGAATAAATTCAATTTAGGTGAGAAGGCAAAATTTCCATGTTTAAAGAAGAAAGCAAAATAGAAAGAACGATGTGTGTCGGGGCGGCAGGGGCCGGCGAGGGGTGGGGGGTACTTTCCATTGCATTTTTTAAAACAATCAAAGAACATCTGGCTTAAGTGCTTAGGTGGTGACCCTCTTAGAGTAAGAGCAGCTGAACAGAATCAGTTGCAAAACCTTTCAACTACCAATGCTAAGCTGTTGACCTTCACATTAGTGCAGCCCCAGTCCTTTCTGCTTGCCAGAGATATCCAAATGGAACTCCCAGACCCTGTAAAACACAGGGACATTGGATAACTCAAGCAGGCAGCCCCCCAAAATAACACACCATCAGGCAATTGGTATAGTGCAGTGATACATAAAATCTAAGATAGAAACATTTGATTTAACAAGAAATGGAGTAGTCAAAGAGATGCTGACAAACCTGATTCCTTCCTTACCTTTTTTCTCACCAGCCAAAGCTTACCAGATGGAAAATATATTTATTCCTTAATTACCAGGTAAAATGGTCTACTCAAAGTTACACAGGTAGTTAAATACAGAGCTGGAAATGTATCCACCTTCTGCTCTGGCAAGAAGCTAGAAAGGATCTCACTTAATTTGTTCCATATCATCCCAAATCATTCAGCCAATATTCAAAGGTTTTTGCTTGTGCCAGAGGTAGCGCCATGAGGTGGTTAAAGAGCGAGTTAAGCAAATAAAGTATTATATCCCTGATTCTCAAAAAATACTTTATGCCAATTTACTTCAGAAAATAGCCTGCTATGCATACCATTAACCTGATAAGAGAGCGAAGAAAAACCCTAAGAACCCAGCTGTGAATGTTTTTCAAGCTACCTTTTCTAGTCCAGAGGTAAAAAGGCAGTGACATTGAGAAGCAATGTGGTTACCTGGTAGTAGCTGAGTTATCACCCACTGTAGTTACCCTAGTAACATGTGTTGAGCATATATAAAAGGCACCTAAATGCAGAGCTTGCTTATGCCTTCGTAATATAAAGGCCCCTATCAGAATAAAAAAAAAAAAAATTACAAGAATTTATCAGCAAAGATGATAAATTACTGGTTATGAGTGATTGTCGTGGAAAAACAAAAGTCATTAAACTCAGATCATCAAGTGAAGTCTCAGTTCATTTACTATAGTAAAAGAAAGAAAGAAAGAAAGAAAGAGAAAGATTATCTTTCTTCTTCATCTAAATATCCATGTAAACCTAAACACATAAACGGAGATTTAGTTAGCAGCCCCCTTTGCGCCTCATATACAATTTTATCATAGCATCTCTAACTTGATTGCATTTATGTGCTTATGGTCACTCTCTCTTAGTTGGAACTAAAGCTTCTAATAAGGAGAGTCCACTTATAATTTATCATTCTATCCTCACCACCTAGCATCAGGTTTGGACTATGGTACACTCTCCATAAACATAGGTTGAATAATGAAATAAATAAATAAATATCACTCAATTGATGCTTAAAAAAAAAAAAATGACCTGATGCCTTAGATGTTTTTCAAACATCAATGATCAAAACACAAAGGTAGGGAGATAAAATGCAAACTCTGATTCAGGAGGTCTGGGGTTAGGCATGAGGGTCTGCATTTCTAACACGTTCCCAGATGATGCTGACGTGGACTTGACATGGAGGAGCCTGACTCCAGGGCTCTTCCAGCTGGCAGCTGCTGGTTCTCCAATTTTCTTATATGGAGAATTTTGGGTTGTTTAAGGAAAATCTAAACTTTAAGCTTGGTATAAATAAAATCACTTAGGGGCTCCTCAAATTAAGAATTTAAATGATGAGTACACAAGAGATTGGGCTGGAACATACAATATACACAA